GTAATGTACTAGATGAGTCATATACCCTTCACCTTCTATGATTACCTTTTACTTCTGATCTTTCTTTTAAACCGTATATTAAATCCATTGCAAAATTAGCATCTGCTAAGGTTGCATCTCTTTATCGAGCTCAACACTTCCTTACTCTAGATTCTATTCTCTATCTCTATAAATCTCAAATCCGTCCCTGTATGGAATGCTGTTGCCATATCTGGGGCAGATCTTCTATTGATGCCCTTTCTCTTTTAGACAAGGTGCAAAAACGCATTGTAAACATAGTTGGACCTGCTTATGCAGCCAATCTCCAACCATTGTCACATCGTCGTGATGTTGCTTCTTTTTCTCTTTTCTACAAATACTATAATTGGCACTGCTCTAAAGCTAGTTTTTTTTCTTCGAACATCAGTTCTTTGGAATTTGCTTCCTTCATCTTGCTTCCCTGATTCATATAATTTGCAATCTTTTAAGTCATCTGTCAATCGTTATCTTGCCCTACGAACTTAATCTTTTCTCTTCCAATAACTTCCAAACTCTTATAGTGGTTGTTCGCAGCCTTGTTGGAAGCGAAGATGTAATATATATTTTTTCTATTATAATTTATATATATATAAATTATAATATATAGGCTTTCATTCATTTACTTACTTATCTTAAGATAATGAAATATAAAAAACGTTTAAAGTTAAGAATAGCTTTGATCTTTACTAGTATGATTCTATTGCCAAGTCTCTTGAATGTGATCAATCATTTCTCGATTCTAATGTTGCAAAAAGTAGTACATTTTTTATTATGGTTAAATGTTTAGTTTTTTTTTTATAAGGGTAAATTACATAAAAAATTTTGATCTGTAATTATATACATAATGCTCACTTTACAAGTAAACATAATTTACACAAAATTTTTGAATTGAATAAAGCACTAAGGAATTGCTCCTATGCCCAATATAACTTACACTAAATTGTCCCATATCAATTACACTAGTGTTATCTTTTGAATTTAGAAATAAAAGTTATTAAATGTTGGTGGCTCATCATGCAATGCATTTGAGAAGGGCATGCTTTCAAAGTAAGTATAATTTTACTATAAAAAGAGCATTTTTAATACTGCAATTATATTGCATACTTGACATACATAAATATATACGCTAGTCACAACAATCCAGTTAAAAATTTCTTTAAAAAAATAAATTTAGTGTTGAGAAATTCGTATTTTTTGATGTATGATGTTATGTTTATAAAAAAATAATTATATATATGTGTGTGTGTGTGTGTGTGTTATTTGTTTCTTTCCCATTTATTTTTACATTCTTATCTTAACAACATTTTTTTAAGGTTAAGATTGCTTTCCTGATTCCTACAGCAAAAATAAAAAACTTTAAAATGCTGGTGGCAATATTTTAAAGAGTGCATCTGATCGAAAAGAAAGTGAATGGCGTCAACTGTTCGAAAATTCGATTCTTGGAAATTAACAAGTGGAAGAAGAAGTTTACAAAGTTGTAATTTTTAAAACTCAGCACAATTATATTATTAAAAAATTTAAATGATTTATTTTTTTTTTCTTATTCTCAAGAAGTTCTGTAAAAACATAAATTTGAACCTTACGTTTAAGTAAACCCATGTTAGAAACGTATTTTAAACGTCGAAATAAGAACGTCTAAATTAGGTTATTTAAAGACGTCATTCGGCGTTTCCATTTAGCACTAGTTCTGAACGTTCTAGATTCACGTCTTTTAGACGTCTAAAAACACGTCTTTAGTCCGTCCTAAAAAGACGTCCTAATTACGTCTTAAAAAGACGTCATCTGGCGTTGCCATTTAGAACCAGTTCTGGACGTCCTAAAAAGACGTCCTTTCGACGTCATATGGACGTTTCCGTGCCCGCTGGGACATTCTTTTGAAAATTAAATGTTAATTTTATTGCAAACTTTTCTATTTGAAAACTGAAGGCTCATGCAGGGATTTAATTATTACAATAAAACAAACATGCTGACAAAGCATTACTGCTTCATGACCGACAGTTTTTCAAAAACTCAATGATTTTCATTACGTTCTTCATCTTGCCCTTCCTCCCTCTTTCCTTTCTTTTTTCTTACTGTTTGTTTTTATTTGTATGGTTCAAACGGAATTTTTTTCGAATTTGCAAGGTAGTATACGTACCAGCAAACTTAAACATATAAGCCTTATCAAGTTTTAACCAGAAATCAGTGATGCTTGTATGTAGTTGTTGAATATTTGTTAAGTTTTTAAATTTTATATGCGCAAGTAAATCTGCATAGCTATCTAAATCGCTGGATAATTGCTTTCCTTAATTTAAATTCTAAAATAAAAGACATATGGTTAAAAGGCAGGCGTTTTTTGTCTACTTTATAGAAATTTTTGATAGTTATCTAGATTTGAAATAAAAGAGAGTTTTTTTATTTCTACTGCAATAAAGTGTCTACTGCATTAAAATGTCATTAATAAGTCTACTGTATTAAAATGTCTTTAATACAGTAAATCATTTGTACGTCCAAAAACGTCTAAGCCCAAAATAGCATGCGTGAATATAATTTTTTTAAAAATGGTTAAATAATTAGTATAAAAGCTGTCTATTTTTTATCTTATTCTATAACTGTAACTCTTTAGTTATTGTTATCTTAACATATAGTTTAACTATATAGCTCTACAAAAATATATTTTTATTTAGATTAATAAATATAATTAGGGACTTTCACAGCTTGCAGTTTTAGTATATAACTTTTTATTAGGGGATAAATGAACAAAATGGCGGTTTTATTTCCTTCAATTACGTAAATTATATTACTTATTGTGGAAAAACTTTATGTTATCTGATTAAGTTATTATTATATTTTTGGTTTCCGTTAACAATAATATGCATGTAAAGGGATAGTAGAGATAGTGATGAAAAGTTTACACGTGAAAATAAAACACTGCTCTAATGTGATTTGAAAGTTGGTTTCCTTTATTTAAGAAGTTTTTTTTCTACATTTTTTTTATAGCAAGACGTACTAAAATAAGTTTAGTTTGACAAGACATAGAAATTTAGTCTTTTTTACTTTGAGAATGTCTTTTTTGCAGTCATGATGTTTTTTTCTTTGCTTCATGGGAGTTTTTAATAAATAATAACAATAAAAGAACAAATAAACATTTTTTTGAATCCAACAATTTAAAAGTAATATTCTTAAAACCAACAACTCAAAATAAAAGATATGTGGAATCTTTTTTAAACAAAACTGCAGCAAAACAAATTTATTCTTCATAATATTTTCATAACTAACAAACAACGTTAACGGCAGGATAAACAAAATTCGTTTTAACAGTCGCAGCTTTTTTGGCATTTTTCGTTCCGAAACTGCATTCAATTTTAAATAGCTGCATTTACTTTTCTGTACTGAACTGCATTCTCAAATATTTAAAGTATACTTAAAAAAAAAATGAAGTGATGAAAAGTCTTTTATAGTTAAAGAGGTAGTAGTTAAAGGTGATATACTTGTAAAACCCAAGCAAGTTTTCAGTACAAAACGTCTTTTTGCCTTTCACTTTAGTTTTTGAGCAAGAAAAGAGTATTGTTTAAATTCATTTATTCTGATCCGTAACTCGTGTAAAGAGCAACTTGTAGATAAAAATTGGTCTTTTAATAATTTTACACAACTATTTTCTATTTAAAAAATTATTGATTGTTTTTTAGTAATTAAGAAATAAGGTAAAAACAATTTAGTATCAATTGAAATTGACATTGTTTTTGTTTATTTATGTTTTGTGGCTTGCAAACAGGTATAACAAGCATTGCGGCTTGCAACCTGTTACCGCACTTTTTTTGGTTTACAAGTTAAGAACCACAATTTTTTTGGGTTGCAAATTAACACCGCCAGTTTTGTGGTGTTTGCAAACAGAAAAAAGAAGTTTTTTTTGCATTATGTTTATTGCCACAAATGTTGATACCTAAAAAAGGTACAGCAAGTTTTGTTGCTGTACCTAGTTTAAAGGTTATTAAAAGTTTTGTGATTTGCAAACCTTGTGTTTTGACAGCTGTGGCTAACCTATACACAGTATCTATCGTTGAAAATGATTTGTTTTGTTTTGTTAATTGAATATAAAATTGTTTACTGAAGACCCAAGGCAATTTTAATTTTATTCTTCGTTAAAAAAAGTATTTAATAAGTTTACATTTATTAATTCAAATTATTTGTTGTTTTTGTCCTTTTTTTTTATTTACATTACAATATGGATACTCTGATGCATCATTAAATGTGTTGAACGTTATTTTCATACTAATTTGCTCACTTTAAAAGTAACATTATACTGTATCTTTTTCAATTTTTATTGCTTAAATAAAAAATACTAAAACAAGTCAGTTGTAGGGAAATCACACTTTAAGGTCTTTTCTTGAAATAAATTTATTCACCACTAGTTACTATATTAATAATTATAAAGCTAAATAACTGAAATTTTTGTTGAACACTCGTTACACATTAGTTAACAATAACTATTATTGTACTGTTGATTGTTATATCTCTGAAGGACAAACCAATAACACGAAACCTAGGACAAGTAAATAAACCCCAGTGGGCACAAGAACGTTTTGCAAACGTTTTTTAATGGTCCCGTAAAAACGTTTTTTAATGGTTTTTTAAAGGTCCATATGAAACGGTGACCGGACGTTTTCCTAAAAACGTTTTATGAACGTTTTTTAATGGTCCTGGTAAAACGTTTTTTATTGGCTTTTTAAACGTCCATATGAAGCGGTGACCGGAGGTTTTTCTAAAAACGTTTTTTGATTGTTTTTTAAGGGCCTCACGAAAACGTTTTTTTATTGGTTTTTATTATGTCTAAATGAAGCGATTTGACGTTTTCAACAATTGCCCTAAAAATCTTTTTTATGTTTAAGTTATTTAAGTAAATAACTTATGTTATACAAAAAAAAATCTTCTACAAATAAAAATTTAGGTGCAACAGCCTAGGTCTGGATAATTTAATAAATTTCTAAAAGTTTAATTTTCTGTTTATTTATAATATAAGCATACAAAAATAAAAAATCAAACATTTACAATATAAACATACAAAAATGTAATAAAATAATTGTTATGCTACTCTATTAAGAGCTCTCTTCAAATGATCTTCTACTTATCGACCAAATCGAACTTTGATGCATGCGACACTAATGTTTCTAAAAAGCAAAATACTATAGAAATATAGTACATATTCCAACTTGGATTCTAACTAGTACATCTTTTCGAAAATAAAAAGTCAACATTTATTTACATACATGTTCCACCCATAGGCTTAAAACTTGATGACAGTTCATCATAACAATAAATTCCAGTAATGCTTTTTGGTAAGTCTTTTTTAACTTGGTGAAAAAAAGTTCCATATATTATTTATTAACGTGTTGGAAATACTAACATATTTTCTAACTTGATGAAAAATATTTATCTGGTTTTATTCTAAACTAAACTTTTAATTAAACCAGATAACACTCTTTGAAAAACTTACATTCCGCAACCTTTTGCACTTTAATATCAAGACTTGCTTCTCTTACAAAGAATTGTAATGTTGTACTGTTTCATTTAAAAATTAATGCTAAAAAACAAGTACAAATAACTGCACCCTTTAATCTTCTATATAGACTTACATTGAAGTATTTAACTTATAACAAGATACAACACCAATTTAAAAAACTTTTCAAAAGGTTTGCATATATGTGAACTAAATATAAAAAAAACCTGTTTCTTGAAATTTCAAACTCGAAGACTCTAAAGTTTTGAATCAAACTTTATGCATGCATTACACATCTCTTCTTTACTTTAGTCAAGATATAGTTTCGTCAATATATCTTCTCACCATTTTTAATAAGTTTCTAATAATTCTTTATCAATATTTTTGTACTTACCTAATTTGCAGTCATTTTCCAAAATTTTTTATAATCAATGATTGTTACAACTAAATAAACTATTCCGTTTAAGCTGAAAAAAAAATATTGCTTAATATTATTATGTACAAATTACCCAATAAAGATCCTGAGGAGAACGAGTTATTTTTAGTAGAAATTCTACTTGTATAAATAAAGTAGAGTGATTGGTAGCTGGAGCAGAAATAATCTAGATAGAAATAGCTTTTTGTTACTCATACTTAAGAATATTAGTTTTACTTTTTTAGTAAATTAAAAAAAAAAATTAAAATAAATACTTTAAATACTTAAAAAAAAAAAAATTAAAATAAATACTTTAAATACTTAAAAAAAAAAAAATTATATACAATATATATATACAATATATATATATATATATATATATATATATATATATATATATATATATATATATATATATATATATATATATATATATATATATATATATATATATATATATATATATATATATATATATATATATATATATATATATATATAATATATATATATATATATATATATATTATATATATATATATACAATATATATATATATATATATATATATATATATATATATATATATATATAATATATATATATATATATATATATCTACAATATATATATATATATATATATATATATAGTATACTTTTTTTGTAAAAAAAAAAAATTATATGTATAAGTTAAGTAAATAACATTTGTTATACAAATAAAAAGTTCTTAACCCTCTATAATGCCATTTTTTTTGGAAAAAACTGCTGTAGTTGGCTGAACATGTGCTGATTTAAAAAAACTGTATTGTTTTTAAAACATCAAACTAGACAAGGGAAATCACTCTTTAAAATCAAAAGTAAAGCTAGTAATGCTGAAATAAGAAAAATTTTGCTTTGACCCCTAATGGCAACAGTGCATAATAGAGAGTTAATAAATAGTAATTTAGATGCATCACTTAGACTTTTAAAGTTTTTTTTGTTTATTTTGTATTCATTTATAATGCGAGCGTACAAATACTAAATAAATTATTTGTTATTCAATTCGATCTGGAGCTCTTTTCAAATGGTCGCCTATTAACTTATCGACCAAATCAAATTTTGTTGAATGTGACACTAATGCTTCTAAAATATAAAATACCATAGAAATCTTTCATGCATTTTAAAGCGCATACAAAGAGGATTACATAAACACACTTCCACAAAAAACATTTTATATCAATATTTAAAAATTACCAATAATTGCTTTATACAATAATGTTTTTCTAAATGATCTTTTGCCATGTCTTCCTGCTTTGTTAAATAACGATTGAACATTTTTAGACATTGTTTCATCTAAAACTTTATTAACTGAGGCTGAAATTGAACTACCACCTATTTGTTTAAGTTGACGGACCTACAAAATTTATAGAATATCATTATCAATGCTAATTTTTAAATTGACATAAAATTAACAATATCATTCAATCAAATTTATTTAGAATAACACTATATATTAATATAAACAAAAAAAATACCAACAAATGAAACTTTTCTTTATTATCTAAAAATATTTCAGGCTCAGTCCTTCTTCCCAGCTTTTCCACTGCACATAAAGATTTTTGTATTTCAGATTTTATACTTGCTAACTCCATAAATATTGCATATTGAAAACCTAGTATAGATAGATTAGAACTATTTTAAGTACAAATTTTATACGAATTCAATAGAATCATCAGTTGATTTATTACAAATTGTGTATACTGTGACAACTTTCAAAGAATAAAAGGTTAATAATTATTAACATACGCCTTTCATCCATCGGTTTAAAGCTAGCTGGTGGTTTGTCATAAAAAAAAGTACCACCAATGCCTCTTGGAATAGTTTTTTGAACTGGTTCCAAAAATGAACCATGTTGACAAACAGATGACAAACTAGATTAAACTGTATTGCTTTGATAGAAATTTGAAAAATCTAAATCTTCTTCTAAATTCAAAACATTCTCTTCTTGATATTTCTGAGTAGATACTATCTTAGGATGTTTGCTAGGAGATTTAATAAATAATCTTGAAGAAAATAATAAACCTTTTCAACTGTAATGTCAGGACTTTTTTCTCTAATGTGAAAACGATTGCTGTATGTTGCACTATTACATTCTAAAATTGATATTAAAAAATAAATAAACAAGACTGTATTATTTCAATCAGGTACTTGCAATAAATTACCTGAACAAAGAAAACTGACAACATTAATTTTAAAAAAAATTTTAAAGTTTAAAAGTGTGTGTGTTAAATTTAAAAAAACCTGTTTCCTGAAAATCAGAATTGGAAGACTCTGAGTCAAACTTCATGCAAACATCGCACATCTCCTTTGTTCCCTTGTCAATATTTATTTTTAATAATATATATTCTTTCCATCCTTTATCAGGTGAAACCCAATTACTAATATAGTAGTTTATTTGTTTTTTGTCCTTTGGAGGCCAATATACAACATTTTTGAGTTCATCTACCCAATGCACAGGTACAGTCATTTTCTTTTGTTTTTCATCTTCAATGATTGTCACAACAGAATAAAGTCTTTTAATTGGGCTTAAATCAAAAACATAAAAAAGTGATTCCTAAAATTTATAATAAAAAAGTGACCACATAGATTTTCTTATGTCAGCATATAAAATTGTTTATAATTACAGTCAATATAAATAATCAGACCTATTTATATAATAAAATATAAACATTTTATAAGTACCATTTGTAACAAAATATTTATTCAAAAACTGTTTTCTCATTAAACTTACCTTGTATTAGGTTGTGATCGTTTTCTTGTAACTGATCTTTCTTCTTCATTATTCATATTTGAGAGCAGTTCCCTAAAAATATATATATATATATATATATATATATATATATATATATATATATATATATATATATATATATATATATGTATATATATATATATATATATATATATATATATAAATATATATATATATATATATATATATATATATATATATATATATATATATAAATATATATATATATATATATGTATAAATATATATATATATATATATATATATATATATATATATATGTATAAATATATATATATATATATATATATATTTTAATTTTAGTTCACCTCCTCAAGGCCGAGAAGGCCACTACAGACGAGGAGGCTACTTATTTGTGGCTATAACCCTCTCTCAACTCTATGTATATATATATATATATATATATATATATATATATATATATATATATATATATATATATATATATATATATATATATATATATGTACATATATATATGTGCATATATATATATGTGCATATATATATATATATATACATATATATATATATATATATATATATATATATATATATATATATATATATATATATATATATATATATATATAAAATATATATATATATATATATATATATATGTGCATACATATATATACATATATGATCTGCTACATCAACTAACAAATAATTAGAATGCAAATAGTGCTGTTACATTGACTGAGGGTCAAAACACTACAATCATATAAAAATATATAGGCTATACTTTCTATTTACTATATTTTTTTACTATATTAAATTTATACAAATTAATAGATTAATAGTTCTACTATAACAATAATTTACTATAACATTATTATAATATTATATAAAAATAATTCTATATGACCATATGAAAAATCATAAATTGTATAACAGTTAAGTTGAAAAAAGCTTCATTGAAGTCGTTGAATTTGTAGGCGATTTACATATAAGCACTCCATTTACTTGTAAAACGTACACATATGTTGTTACACGATTACAGTTAACGCTTGTGAAACCTTTTTTATATGTCCTGCAAAAATAATATGTAAAGTAGTAAATTTTATTAATTTAAAACATTTTTAAGATGTTTTCCAAATACTTCAATTATAAAATTGTTGTTTGAGCAAACATAAAAATTATTAAAAAATTGTCATTCAAATGTTCCTGTGTCCATTAGAACCATTCATGTATTGCACTCTTTTTTCTCAATATTTTTCAAGCATCCTATAAGGAGCTCAGTTTAAATAATTGCCTATCAACATATCCACCAAATTATATTTTTCTGTTTGTGAAGCTAAAGTTTTTAACAACAACCACAAAAAATTCTATATAAATTCTTTGTAAAGTGCGTTTTATTTGCCCATTAAAAGGGTGTAACATATACAAACATTTATAAAAGTAATGTAATTGAGGGCAAAGTCACACTATAAACGATATGTTAATAGTTTTACAAAAATACTTATAATTAATTATAGAACTTAAAAAACTTCATATTTAAAAAAAATACAAGTTTCTACTTTAAAAATTACCTTCATTAATTAACTTTATTTCCAAATGAAATTTTTTCAAAAATTTCAACTATTTTAAACAGACTTTAGGCATATTAATTCCATAAATATTGCATATTGAAAACCTAATATAAATTTATAGAGAAATTAGAACAGAATGAAAGACAAATTAAAAATTCTTATGGTATTCATTGAAATGAACTTGTAGTTTTTACTACTGCTACAGAAGGGTTTGCTAATCATATATATATTATATATATATAATATATATATATATATATATATATATATATATATATATATATATATATATATATATATATACATATATATATATATATATATATATATATATATATATATATATATATACATATATATATATATATATATATATATATATATATATATATATATATATGCATATATATAAATATATATATATATATATAATAAATATATATATATATAATATATATATATATATATATATTTATATAAATGCATATATATATATATATATATATATATATATATATATATATATGCATATATATATATATATATATACATATATATATATATATATATATATATATATATATACATTTATATATATATACATATATATATATATATTACATACATATATATATATATATATATATATATATATATATATATACATAAATATATATATACATATATATATATATATATACATATACATATATATATATATATACATATACATATATATATATATATATATATATACATATATATATATATACAAATATATATATATATATATACACATATATACATACACATATATATACATATATATATATACATATACATATATACATATATATATACATATACATATATATATATACATATACATATATACATATACATATATATATACATATATACATATACATATATATATATATACATATACATATATACATATACATATATATATATACATATACATATATATATATACATATATATATATATATATATATATATATATATATATATATATATATATATGCATATATATAAATATATATTATATAATAAATATATATATATATATATATATATATATATATATATATATATATACATATATATATATATATATATATATATATATATATATATATATATATATTATATATACATATATACATATATATATATATATATATAATATATATATATATATATATATATATATATATATAAATATATACATACATATAAATATACATATTCATATAATAACATATATATATATACATATAAATATAAATATACATATAAATATATATATACATATAAATATATATATAAATATAAATATATATATAAATATATATATATAAATAAGATATA